GGCCATCTCCAGCTTACCTTTTCCTGTACAACAAGAGCTTAAAGGTCACAGTCTGACAGATCCTGAAATTGGCTCAACAGAAATTGCAAGAATGTGGTCTTTGTTATTAAAAATAAATACAGAATTATAACGAGGTCTTTGTTTTTTATGAGAGCTAATATAAAATAAATTTGTTTCCAACAGATGACCCATTTGATGAGTATTTACGTAGATAAGCAATGAAAAATTAAGACAGACTTTCACTCATTAACCAGTTTGTTCAAATTCTTCTGCCTTCTCTATATTTGAAATTTCCTAATATTTTTTAACTTTTTATTTAATATTATTTGTCGTAGTAAAAACATAGCAGAGCAGCCATAATGTAATATAAAGCCAAAACCTAAACAGGGGTTTAGATAACCCAGTAGTAATGGGCTGATGTTGGTAATCTATGATGTTGTTAATATATCATTATACTTTTTACCGGATTTTACCTATTTGACAAGACTGAAAACCTGTTGCCCATTTCTAAAATCAATCTAGCCCCAGACAAATTGCTGTACTTCAAATAGTTACAAACATTATGCAAAAGCCATCACGTTTGCTGGCACAAATAAATAGCAAATAAGTAAAAAGTAGGTTAAAACATTTTTTTACCAGATCTAATCATGACGTTGGAATTTGCCAGGCTGTGGGTCTTCTGAAGATGCCTTCTCACATTTCATTGCTGGGAGTAATCTGGGAATGGCACCTTCCTTGACGATGGACACAAGCTCACAAATGCTTCGTTCAAAATACCTGCAGCAGTTTATTTGATGCCCTTTGTAACAGTCTACACTCGGCCTCATCTTCAGTTCATGAGCATCTGTTGTAAAGCTTATTGTGTTTGTCCACGTACTGTAGTTCACACGTGCTGTACACTTACATACGCAGGAACAACAATATAATGGTATAATCATTTTCAAAATTTCACAAATATGATTTAGTTGTGCCCCAACCACTGGGATCCTTCAAGAAGCAGCTGTGCGACATTTGTGAGTCACTTAGCTACTGATCTACCAAATGAGCAAGATGAGGTGAATGGCCTCCTGTCAGGAAGAAAAAATGCTACAGAAAAAATGCCACAGGAAATAACATAATAAATGTCACTTTTGCCAGATTTATGGCATAATAGAACAAGTAGAAAATGTGAGGCATTTATTTGGAGAAAGGGTTGTGGGAGTGTGAAACAAGCTTCTCAGCCATGCTTTTAACTGGGATTATTTAAAAACAAATGCTGGGTTAGATCCTTGTATTAATTAGCTACCAAACAGCCTAGATGGTCCACATGGCCTCTGAGGTTCTAATGTGTTCTGTAAATAATGTGTTCTGTAAAGGAGCTGGTACTGTTATATAGGTAACACAGTGCGTTCTGGGCAATGTATTAAATCAATTACAGCTGTTGAATAAAGTACTATATACTGCACTATGCTACAGAACCACACCATTATTTTTTTTTACATTGCACACAAAGGGTTGACAGCAATATTTCATGTTCACAGTTCAGTACTTAAGAAGATCAGTTCATACATGAGGCTAAAACAAAGAGGTTTTATTGTTTTTGATTTACTTGAAAAATAAATGCTTCGGGCTGTATCGACGTCATGGCGTCTCCTCTGATACTAGGAGTTTCTCATTTTTTATCGAAGGTCAGAAGCTGTTGTTTTCTAAAAAAAAAAGTTGTTTTGTAACTGTAGATTCTTGTAGTACCAGTAAAAGTAGATGATTGTTCTCTTTCACAGTAAAATGTTCTTCCAAAACCCTGGGAATGCTGAAAATGTTGTTTCTAATTATGGATGTTTAAATGGACAATACTATGTTCCCAGTGTTAGTCTTGCTTTTAGTAGAAATCTCATGTATTACTGGAATGCAAATTAGAGTTGTGTCGTTTATGACTTTTAGACATTAACGTATTAATTGTAAATTTTTGCATATTGCACATTGTAAGATTTGCATAAATCCCCTATGTCCTCATTTATATAATTGTATTTACTTCTGTCCTCAGAAGGTCCTGGAATTCAAGACACAGCCTTGACACTGGGTTAATACAAATACTGTACAACACTAAGCACACAACACCGAACAAGAATAAAGCCTTTATTAAAGGACTGTACCTTGTTCCCTGTCCCTGCGCACCAACACATATTAATTTAGTAGTCTGTTTAGGTTTCTAAATTAATATTAGAAAATAAGTCCACCACTTTTGGAAGTGTTCATTTTCACAGTGTAATCTCATTTCACCACTCTGACTAGGCTGTAGCACAGCAGTAATGAACTGGTTCATTACTACAGTACATCCTTAAACATTCAATGCTTGTTTAATAGAAGCTTTAGCAATAGACTTAGACTTCCAGACCACAGCATACAAACACTGATAAACAGAAATACAGAGGGTGGGTATATAAAACATTACTGAATTGCAAACTGCACTTTGCTAAAAGTCCTACACTTTTGCTTTCACAACATACAGGAGCTTTGTAGTCCTAAAGGAACAACTCCTTGACATGTCCAGTAGGTGGCAGTGGTCACTCACGAGTCCCACAGATCTTACAGTATTAATGTGTATAAAACACTACAACATACACAGTGATCCAGGAACAGGTCCTATGAGAACCAACACAGATGAGATGCATGGGTCATGCGATTTCAGTTCCTGGACAGAGGTCACACGGTATTTTGTGAACCCTGACAGCTCACCTTGTGCAACCCCAGCACCTACAGTACCAAAACAAAAGCCAGCTCTATCCGTGGTCAAAGTAATCCAACTTTAATTTATCAAGCAGGAGGGTGGCAGACTCCAGCTTTCCAGGATTTCTACGTGTGCCACGTTGTTAAATACAAATTTAGCACCCTATAAATACCACAAAGCATTTCGCAACTAAAAAAAAAAAACAACAGAAAATAGTTATTTTTGATTCCTCCATCTCTTTCCCAGCAGGAATCATAAATGTTTTATGTGTAACCTTTTATGTCTGGACGGGCAATTCACAGTAAATTAAATTAAAAAGTTATACATTAAAAGAAACAAACTTTGCAATAAACAGGGACTAGAATACACATTTTCTTAAATTATGACAAGGCCTGTGGTTTTGAGTGTGAAAGAAATGCCTGTTACAAGGCCGGAACATGGCAGTGTGGAGTTTCTGTACTCTCCCCATGTTCTGGTGAGTTTCCTCCCATAGTCCTAAGACATACTGGTAGGTTAACTGGCTTCTGGGAGAACTGGCCCTGGAGGGCTGTGTGTGTGGAGTTTGAATATTCACCCCATATTCCACCCGGTGCTCCAGTTTCCTCCTCCAGTCCAAAGACCAGCTGTGTGTGTCTGTGTGTCTGTGTGTCTTTGTATCTGTGTGTGCCCTGTGAAGAACTGGCATCCCAACCAGGGTGGATCCTGTCTTCTGCCTGTCGCTTGCCAGGATAGGCTCTAGCTCCCCCATGACCCTGGATGGGATAAAGCGCTTAGAAAATGGATGGATGGATGGATGTCACGTTTCATTGTTTCATTGTTCATTGTTAAGGACTGACTAAAGAATCCCTATCAATTCCTGCCAAAAAAATAACACCCAAGTCACACGTCTGTAAAACTGAAGTTAAACTTAAGTTTTTGCGAAAGCAGATATAAAAAAGATAGATTTCCTATCTACTGGATAAGTAAATGCTACTCCAGATGTTTCAACGTTTACAAAGAGACACATGCCTGAGAAGCAGGATAATGAAGTAATGCTAGACTTCCATTAATCCTGCTGCTTGGTCCTGTGATTTGCTCTTGATCTCCTCATGATTGCACTGGTAGATCTTTGAGACACAGCGCAACAGAGCATGTCGACGGTTTGGTCTTCAAAGACACCTTGACAGAGCATTTGCCTTTGACACTGTGAAGATCTTGAATATTCTGTATCCATGTCCCTCCCCTGCCATGTGGGAAAAGATGACATGTTGTTACAGGGAGAAATGAAAGAACTATCACACTTGCCTGTTTACATTTTAAATTGTCTGTTATGTGACTGGCATCACAAAAAATGTAGCCAGAGCAGATGCTATGGGCACAAGACACTGAGGGGGATGAAGTTAAATTGCTGTAATAACTTTCAACTCCGTTTACCTATTTCATAGTGCCACCTGCTGGTCACAACAGCACTGTGCAGTTTAATTCATAATATTTCTTATGTACTCGTAATCAACAAAAACAAAGCCTCTGTTTCCACATCCCAGTGAATTAGAATTAGTGTTTTTCCAAACAACATTATTTAAATATCAGCGGATAAGACTTCAAGACTTTAGATAATTACAATTGTTAAAATCTCACATTTCAGCAACGGTTATCCTTCATAAAAGGTTTTGAATTCATTTATATTAAACACAGGTGTAGTTCCCTCACCGGTTTTACGAAGAAGGTGCATCGACATCACAGCCAGCACGCTTCTCCAACATCTTGGATGTCATTACTTGGCAAAAACTTTTTCTTTACATCTTTACTTTTTGATTTTTCCAAAAGTGGATAGTTCACACTTAGTCAGAGACTGGTGAAAAACAAATACCATATAGAAAAGGGCATTGCTGTAGCTTTGATAAAAGCAGACATCAGGAATGATTCTTAGGCACTTAATCCCATTTATCAGTTATCCTGGGTGACTAAACATGTGCTTATATTAGTGTTTTATCAGTAACAACTGGCTTCTGTCCTCTATGTCATTGTTATATATACAGTAGGTAGTGGTTCATATGTCTGGTGGTTACAGCTGTCACCCTTGCTCATAACTGTGTAAACAGAAAACTGTACTAACAGGGTTCTCTGTGTGTACAGTGATAGGCTGCCATTTTGTATAAAATGCAAAAATACATCCCTGATGGCTTCATACACAACATGTTCAACTACTATAGCTGGTTTGACAGACTAAAGTAAAAGTTTTTTTGCACCTATGTGAGATGATAGAACCGCTCTGACAAACAGGTGATTTTTTTCTTTAACAGGAAATGACCAATTCCGTTCTGCAATCACTTTATTTTACAAGCTATTGCAGTGAAGCTATTGATTTTCCCTGCAAAAGGAGCACACATTTTACATGCAGGCTAAATCAATACACATATTGTTCAAAATAGATATTTATTATTTTTTATCTGGATTATGTCTTTCGGTTGTTCAATATTAAATGCAGGAAAGATAAATGTCCAAAACCATCCTTCTGTCAAAAGATGTTAATGAAAAGACTGCAAAACCTAATGTGGGACTGCACAGGTGAGTAGGCAGTGGCTGATTTCAATCCTTTTCACTCTTCAGGCTGCTCCGATAACTTCTCTAACTTTGCTTCAAAGCGCTTTCGGCTGGAGTCTAAAATGGCTATCCCCTGCTTTTTAAAGTCGTACCCAGCCTTCTCCAGTACCCTGAGCCGGCTCCTCACCGTCTCAGCACTGAAATCCAACACCCGTGGCTTTTCCAGTATCTGCTCGATATCCACCCCTCCCTCCAGGAGGCAGTCTATTTTGTTCTTCAGGTTCTCAGGAGAGATGTACAGGGCTGGAGGGTACAAGATGATGAATTTCTTGACCCCCTCCTGGCAGCAGCCGAGCGATCTCAGCTTCTGCTCGGCGCTGCGGAAGTTCCTCTTGATGTACTCGCTAGAGAGGTCCAGGATGTCTGCGCCGTGGCCCTGGAGCAGATGCAGCAGCTCCGCGTCGCTCAGCCTCAGAGCGCCCCGCAGGAACTCGACGTTGGCCTTGACCCGCTTGGTGCTGCGGATCAGGATGTACACGTTCCGGGAGATGATCCGCTTGATGAACTGCTCCGGGTCGGTGCCGCCCAGGCTGACGCAGATGTCCTGCAGCAGCTCCACCATCTGCCGGTTGAGCTCGGCGCTGTTGGAGAAGGTGCGGGGGGCGGTGGTGAGGAGCCGGTGGAGGTCCTTGGAGGTCAAGCCCAGGGACCACAGGAAGGCGATGTTCTTCTCAAGGTTGGCGTTGTCGCTGGAGCGGAAGAAGGACTCGGGCGAGCGCTCCAGGATCTTCACGATCTCGTCGTCCCTCTTGAAGACGTTCCTCCAGAGCCTCCAGCGCTCTTCCAGGTGGTGGTGGGAGCGAGTGATAGCGCGAGGGTAGCGCGAGATGATGCTGGCCACCACCTCCCTGCTCGCCCCTTTGGCCTGCAGAAAGCGGGCAAGGCCCTGCTCGTTAGTGATCACTTTCCGAAGGACGCCTGGTTGCCGTCTCCTCGCCATTTTAATGTCCACGCCTAGAACGGTCAAGTTCTCCACTAGCACCTCGTTCTCCTTGCCTGGGCTGACCTGGACGACCTTAGATGTTGAACTGCGCAGCGAGGAAAGCCATGGTGCCAGCTGTCGAGAGACACAGAGACCCAGCACAGCTCGCCCCGCAGTGCAGTGCAGCATGCCTGTGATGCTGGACAGCACCATCTCACAAATCAAAGGCGTCATGCAATATTCAGGAGCCTGGAGGGGGGAATGGAAAGGAAAGTTAGTGTTCTGTATGGTTCGTTGCTATTTATTTATAACACTAAAACATTCAAATGGACTTACAACTGCTCTGTAACAAAGCTGGGGATTTTAATGCAGATTTTATTTAACTTTCACTGATGTTGCTTTTTTGGATAATGCAAATTCATAATTATAATGCAATAATGTTAATGCTTAGAAGAATAAAGACCTTCTTAAACAAGGGTTGCAGGCACAGTTCAAATATCTTAATCACAGATTAGGAAATATGTAGGTGAGTTTTAGAATATGAAAGGGCAGAAGTTAGAGGTCTTAATACATTACTTTTAAACTAGTGTGTGAAGTGCTGTCTCCGAGACACACACAACACACTAAACAATCTTTCCCCTCACAGCCCTGGCTGGGACTGAAGAACTGTTCATTGTGAGGCACATTAGCACATCCCTGCAGCTTGAATTTACTGTTTACCTTGATGGAAATCTTGTTTGCTCTGCTTAAATATTTAACCAACCGATTTGCCTAACATATTCGGGGAGGTCTAATGGTAATCTTGAGAAGCACAACAAAAGACTTCAGCCTCCCTGATTCACTGCCCTAAATCTCTATATAGTTCCCATTCTATATATTCAAGCTCAGAGCAAGTGAATCACTGCCATGTTTTATCAGTGCCTAGATAGAAACAAACACAGGTATTGTATATAAACACATTTTTGAGAATATGGGCTAACCGTTGTGACAATAAGATGTAGAAATTCAATAAACAAGCCTCCATTTTTAATTACACTATGTGTCACATTAGGTCACTAATGCACTAATAGCACAATACTATGTATCCTAAAAAATAGAAGTATGAATGTTCACAGGGATAGAATAATTCCATCAGCCCGTTTTGGGATTTTGCTGGTGATTAAAAATAAACTGCCCTTATTACCTGGCACTCAGAGGCAGCAGTGTAAACCTCTGGCTAGGATTAGATTTATAGATGGAAGGTTGCAGGTTCAGTTCTGGGGATAAGCATGGCTGTCGTACCCTTGCGCAAGGTACAATAACTTACTAATTACAAATAAATTAGTCGATATTTTTCCTAGAGTGTGATCAAACTCCTGTCTATTACGCGAAGAAACATGACAAAGCACATACTAGCTCGCCTGCACACAAATCTGTATCTTACACAGTAGGTACCGTATGTGTTATCAGCTAAAGCAGGGGGCTGTACTATTCCTGCTTAGCCTGCATTTAGTATCTATACTTGGAGTCATTGCTGAACCAGGTGTGTGCACCAGCAGACAGCAAGGCTTGTATTTCCCAGCTAGAGCTGCCCTGGCCAATGGTGTACTGAGGAATTAGACAATCCCTCCTGTCCTGGATTCACACTGAGCTCGGGTATGCATTTTCTGCAGAGATGATGGGTGATGACAGGTAAGCCAGCAGCAGTCTAACTCCATATTAGAGAATAACCTGCGACCAACAGCAGGGGCAACATTTTGGTTAAAAAAAATAAAACTTTCAATGGGCATATAAGATCTGAACAAATTGAAAAAAACACTATTCTCATCCTCTCAAAATTCCTGGGGTAAAATACAGACAACTTCCGCTGACAGGCTGAAGGAACCTTTATAGTTTTTTATCAGAAAAGTTAGCAAGGGCAACTGATACCAGTATCGAAAAGCCTCAACGTCTACCCGGATGTCTTAGGAATAAGCCAGAGGTCAGAGGTCACAAGTAGCAGCTACGTGGAAGAGCATTTAAAAACAGGAGTCACGTCGTTACCCAAAGGGCTGCGGGAGTGCGGTTATACATTCTTAATAAACATTTTCCAAATACAGAACAATAAAATCAAAGCTGATATTACCAAAAACACTACATTCGTTATTTTTACAAATGACAAAAACATTATCTATCTGTAATCTTAATTATCTGAATGGAATTCAGATGCTCTAAATGTAAAATTAATTTAACAGATAAAGGTAATTTCTTGTTGTCATGAAAATTGATCTTGGAACGATAGGCTCATCTGATGTTTAAATACCCCCCAAAACATTATTACCAGTAACAGATGTGTTTTCATGCCTGATAATCGTTAGAAGTTTAATATAAACAACATGTTATAATTGAGAATGAGAATCCAGCACTCTGTAACAAAGGTTAAGGTCGTGAGCAATGGGATTTCGCGTAAAGCAGACCTACGATCCAAACACCTAAAGAATATGTAAGTGTAGTACTTTTAAAGGTAATAATTGTGAACAGGACACACCAGCAAAGCGTATAATTGATGATACCAATGGCCGTGACGTCAGAGACTTTCATCGCCTCATGCGGAAGCAGATTCGCGCTGCAGTCTCATAATTTGTCGTGTTTCATATTCAATTATCTTATAACACTGAACCGTTTATTCTAGGAAGTGTAAAATCAAATGCAAATAAAATATACTGGAAAACGTGCCAATTCATATAAGAAACACGTCACTAACACAAGCCTTTTGGGTAAAGTACTGCCGCAGCCTGCACTGCCACTAGTGTACAGTACATCTTTTTTCACCGGGTCCTTTGTTTTTCATTAATATATTAACCCACAAACAGCAAAATAACTCGATATTACTATTGTCCCAAGCAAGGCTAACTGGTATGCGAGGTTATACTGAGTTACACATTTCAATTCTGTTGCTACGCAACAAAACACTTGCTTTCATTGAAAAGCACACCATTCTAGTCTTCAATCTCTTCCCTTACCCTTTTCACAGGTCATTTCCGCTGTTTGTAATAGAACTAGCACGGCAAGAGAAGTGTCCTGCAACAGCGGTTATTTCTGATTGAACGCATTTGCTGGCGCCCTCTGCAGTCCTGAAGGGATCGCATTCCCGCTACGGAGTCGCAATGACCTGTGACCACTAGATGGCATCAACTGGTCGCCCAGACACGGGGCAGAAATGGCGCATGTTAATAATTGCTTTAATCATATTATCCTTCATATAAATATTGAGTCACGTATTCTAGCACACATGAAGTGTTGCAATTACATTTAGAAAATGAACCAGAAGAGACGGAGTGCATGTCCCCACACCATGTTTTTCAAAGATCGAAAAACGTTTTTTTTTGTTCCGTAACACGAGGAAGGAGAAGGAAAATTGGCCTCATAATAGGGGGAGATTTGTAGCAGTGCGAAAAAGGAAATGTTTCTGTCAGTATGCCATCGAAATGCTGCCCAGTAGAAGTGTACTTTTAAATATTTCCAATGCCTCACATGCACACATTTTTCATTGTTCTTTCTCCACGGACAGCAGTAATTTAAGTTTAATTACTGTTATTGTAGTACAGGTCTTCTGTCGAAGGTGACTAAGGATTGCTCGGCCACAGACCTCCCCTAAACCATAAACAACACTGGTAATGTAGCTGCTATTGTCATGTTGGACGGTGGGCTCCATTTAACTCGCTGCTGTCTGTTTCCCCAGGGCCAGAAGGAACAGAACCCTTCGCTGTCACCCCAAACGTCACTGCAGGGCAGAGCTAAGACATACAGTCCTCATTGTTCACAGACATCTTTCTTCGCACAGAATGGCATTTTTAAAGACTAAGCAAACACTGGTTGTTATGTACCTCCAGAACAATTAATTAAATGCCACAGCACCGTCACACAGAGTCAAATGACACAACCTGTTTTTGGTGGCACAGAGAGGTGACATGTCTGCCTGCAAATCTTCATTAGAGTGTATGGATTACTGTCATATCAAGCTATAGTACAGTTCCACAACAAACCAAGGAAAATAAGACTAACCCATTTAGAAAAATCTCAGGAATAGTATTAACCACAGTCACTTCACCATGTCACATTCATGAGCTAGATACTGGCTCAGGGGTCTATCAGACTTCATCCAAGGTGTGATCTTGCCTTGCGGTCTATGCTGTCTGAAATGAAGCTCCTTGCTCACTGCACCCCTGTCAGGCTAAAGAGGGGATCCTCCTGAAAGGCATAACCAGTTAAGACTTTGGTGGATGCTGCACATTGGTGGTGGTGGAGGGGAGACCCCATTACCTGTAAAGTGCTTTGAGTGGAGTGTCCAGAAAACCGCTATATAAGTATAAGCAATTATTAATATTAATTATTATTATTAATTAAGACACCTGTCTAAACCCCCATTTCTTCATCTCCAGGACCTCCATCTGATGACAACAGGAAATCTGTTGACAACATTCTATCCACATCCACATTTTAAGACAAGACTGTGCTATACAACCAAATCATTTTGTTCTGTTATTTTATATTCATTATAAAATTCATTATTCATTACAGAGAGGTAGTTGATTAAGAAAGGTATAATTTACTTTAGTATTTTCAATGGCAGGGTATTATTTACTTTACAGATCAGTCATATTGTAATTTTTTAATGTATTTATTATTCACCTGAATAGATTCCATTTATTTTTTGACACCATCAAATGCATGGATACAACTGTGAATGTTAGACACTCTCATGTTTCGGCACTAACAGCCCTCTGCTGTTTATTTATTCTCCTTCTCTGGTTTCATCATGACATCCAGCTGTCACTCTTGAATTCCATTAGCTGTCCCTGCATTTAAGATTAGACTATGCCAACAATACCCATTTTATATTGGCTGCTTCTCTTAATTACTGCTTTGCTTATTGATTCATTTGCAGTGGCCACTTGATCCGTTGTGATCCTGAGCCTCAGCTGGCAGGCTCAGGACACAGGGCAGGCCCACACCCTGGATGGGATGCCAGTCTATCACAGGGCACACTCGCATACAAGGGGCAGTTTAGAGAATCCAATTAACCTGGTTGGCATGTCTTTCGTGACCTGAGAAAACCCACTCAGTTTCCCCAAGACTCAATGTTAACTACCATTCCACTCTTCCTCCTTTGTGTATCATTTGTTGCATTTGATACAGCCTCAGTTTATTTATAACTAAAATCTGAGTGTCATTTTTCAGTCTGTCGCTACAAATTCCAGACATGTCTCTGCAGGAAAGAAGGCTAATCATGCTTTTTGCACTTGTACAGTCTCAACGTGCCCTTTGTGATGACCATTCCTACCAATATCCCCCCAGCAGATAATCTTGCGATGGGCTTATTCATGCATGGAAGCAAGGGAAAAAAAGAGAGGTTTTATTGTTTGGATTTTTTACCTGTTTTGAAATCAATATTTTTCGGAAAGGGAAAACTTTCCAATCTATGAAATCAATTATTCAGATGTTTCCCTAACAAAGATTACAGAGGACTTCAGTTACAAAACCGCTACTGTTTGGCTTTGTAACTCATTTACAGTAAAAAAAAAAGAAGACACTATCCAGAATTAGGCACAGTTTAAGGTTCATAAGTAAAAATGTCTTTGCATTTATTGTATCTCCTAAAGGTACACAAGCAGTATTAATAGTATCTGTGATCTAATATTTGAATCTCCTGTCCTTATGGCAGAATGTTGTATACTGTAAGGTGTCTTCCACTGTCTGTTTTTTAATACAGATTCCATTAGAAAAAAATCTTCCTTTTTGAAGAATAGTCTTAGCTACTTTTGACAAAGCCCGTTGAAATTAAATGGCCCTATCAAAGAAGATTATAGTTTTTATAAAGTATAATACAGTAACTATGCAGAACATTTTTCACTCTGTGAGAGCTCAGCTCTGTGAGAGCTGAGGCTGCTGTCTGAGTCCAAGGTTGTACTCCCTATTTACTCACGACTGCAGAGCAAGACACGGCAACAACCGCATCATTAAGTTTGCAGATGACACCACTATTATAGGAGTGATCAGTGATGATGACGAGTCCACTTACAGGGATGAAGTTGTACAGCTGCTTAGGTGGTGTCATAGCAATAACCTGGACTTGAACATAAAGAAAA